AGGCAGGAGCCAACCGGGTTTTACCCCATTCACAAAAAGTAGGGGGAGAGAGACGGAAAGAAAACCAGATATTAGAGAAAAGGGCCAATTTCTCTTTACTGGTTCACATAATCGTTACCACAATAACGACTGGGTTTTATCTAGTCTGTTGCCAAATATGATTCGTACGAAGCTTTTAGTCGATTAGCGCCAGTGACTTCTATGGATTCAGCTCTACGCAGAACCAGACTGAGGAACTACTTGGTGTTGGAGGAGAGAACGGGGTTCTCTTGGCCGTTTTTGATTGATAATTAATCCCTGTTTCTGGGTATCTTTCTCCCCCAGTAGAGTTTCTCCAAGTGGGTTCCTCCTCAAGTATTGATTTCGATGAGAAGGGTCGGTGAAGAATCGGCGGTCTTCCTGTAATTTGTATTCCTCTAGTCGAACTTATATTGTTGTGTTGTGCTGCAGGAGTTTTATGTGGAGGGGTTGCTCTGGCGGAGCTGGGGTTTTTCTCAAGCTCTCAAGGTGCTTACTGAGGATGTCTTTGAGCTGCAAGTTTTCTACCTCTAACGGGAAATTCCCAGCTGGGTTTAAGCTGAAGAAGGCCAAGGAACATCTCTGTTTGTTAAATTCTACCGGAAAATGGAAGAAGAAGCTTCTCTGTCTTTGGATTTTAGCTGTAGTTGTAGTTTTGAGCAGTTGGTTTTTCTTGCGTCCGTGTAATGTGAGTAGTGGAACAAAACAGAAGACCTGGAACTTGTTCGACGAAGAAACTCGAACTTTGCTGCGGCATTTCAATGTAAGCAAGAATCAGCTTCAAGCTTTAGCTTCCTTTTTGTCCGAATCAGATCGGGTAAGTTTTCTTTAACAGTTCAATTCGTTGATCTTTTGTCTTCTCTCGTAAACTATTGTGAGTATATTTCTCATATCATAGGCAAACAATAGCCGTGGGGATCCAATGATTATTGCTGAAGTTGTGTGACATGGATGCCACAACATTGTTCTTTTTTTTTTTTCTCTCTTCTTTTACCATTTATTTTCAACTTTGGAGTTGGGACGATGTGAAAGGCCTATTGTCGAATTGATTAGTCTTAGGCAGGCTGTTTAAGGCTGTTTGAGTTAATTTATCAAATTAAGTGAGGGTAGAAACCATTGAAATGCACATCCGAGCCTGATGAACTGAGGTAATATACAAAGAGACATCAAGCTTTATTTGTTGTATGATTCTTAAACCTATCCATTATATAGGTTAATAATCAATATTACCAGTTCTGTCTTTGTAAATGTACACCATAGGAGTGCCTCATGTCTTTCCTAAATCATGTAACGGGAGAATGATTAGAGAATACATGCATTAAATGGTTTACATTAGATTATATTTGTTGCAGATGTTGTCCGTCCGGTGTACTGAAGATTTTGAATCTGACACATCACAGTTGGATGGAATTGCCTGTGCCCTGAAGTTACTGTACTGGGAGCAAGATTTGCAAAAGCAGTATTTGGGGGTTGAAGAAAGTGCAGATTCCAATATTGGGCAGTGCCCAATTCGAACTGAGAAGATCCCTGAAAATTCTGACCAATTATTCTCTGAGGACATAACTGTTCCATTTGCTTCAGACTTATCTGTCTCTTTACTTTCTACTAGTTATCAGCTTTGTGGAAAGGTAGATGAATTTTTATACTGGAATAAGTTGATGTAGTGTACCTGAAATCTAGTCTTTAAAAATTCATCTTTCCCAAGTCACAACACTTAAAGATCTAATCTAACTTTTGATTTTGATTGTTATCCATACTAGGAATTAGCATAGTACACCTTAGTTTGTTTATTTACTTATCATTATTTTTTTATATTATTTTTTTCTAGTAGAACAAATACATCATCCACCTTTGAATATTGATAATGATAAGCACTACTAATATTTAGTTCCTTCGCAAAGAAAGTTAACTTTGGCAAGTGCAAAAGATTTATGTCAATGTATAATAATTCAGTTGCTGACTAATCTTGATGTTGGGCATAATCAGATAATAGAACAAGCAGGAGTGCTAAGATACTTTTTGAGAAAGCACTGGGAGAGTTTCTGTAGATTGTTAATTGGATGTTTCTGGGTTCTCCTTGGAGTGATAGTGTTCCAGAACATGCCTGGTTTCCACCTGAAATTGTGGACCAATAAACATCCAAAGCCAGATCAACCGTTGGTTCATCAACAGTGGGTCTTGCTACAAAGAAAACAACATCAACAAGTCAAAGATTCTCCTAAAGGAGCTGGGAAATGGCGGAAGGTTCTCCTAAGAATATTTATTGTAGTTGGGATCATCTCGTCCATTTGGTTATTTTGGCGCCTGAACCAAAAAATCATTTTTAGAAGAGAAGAAACACTTACAAACATGTGTGATGAGCGAGCCCGGATGTTGCAGGACCAATTCAACGTTAGCATGAACCATGTTCATGCATTGGCTGTTCTTACCTCTACCTTCCACCATGGGAAACAACCTTCTGCCATTGATCAGGTAATGCTCTTTCTGTTTTCCCTTTGTTTTGTTTCTCCGCTGTTAGCCTGTAAAACAATTTCTTTTCATTGATGAATTTTAATGAATATGGTATCCTAGCAGATATCAATAATCCTTCATTGAAAGAACAGTACCCAGTATTTATTTTTAAGTTTTAATATTTTCCATCATCACGCACTTGATCAATAAGTTGTTTGTTTGTATAAAAAAAATAGTAACCTTTTATTGCTTTGTTATCGATATTGATTGAAAAAGGGTAGATTTTTTTTCACCTAAAATCAGATGAAAAAATATGGAATGCTGCAGTTCATGAACTGGTTGTAAGGATTTGAATCTCCTAGTACTTGGCCAAAGATATTGTATTCTGAAGAACTCTTGATAGTATATCACTCCAATGCTTACAAATTTTCTGTCTAGCTGATTATTTCTGAACTCTCTCTGCAGAAAACATTTGGTGAATATACAGAAAGAACAGCCTTTGAAAGACCACTAACTAGTGGTGTAGCTTATGCTTTGAARGTTAATCACTCAGAAAGAGAGGAATTCGAGATGAAGCATGGATGGACAATAAAGAAAATGGAGACTGAAGACCAAACTCATGTTCAAGATTGCATCCCAGAAAGTTTGGATCCTGCACCAATTCAAGATGAATATGCACCTGTCATATTTTCTCAAGAAACAGTCGCTCATATAGTTTCAATTGACATGATGTCTGGAAAAGTAAGTAGCCCAGGACAGTTCATGTGTTAATGACTCTTAATTGACTGATTACTCTTATATTATGGTTCTCCTCATGTCCCTGAAATTGTATTCCTAATTAAAAAGATTTCAACAAGAACACCCATTTGCTATTTTTCCTTTGCTGGTTCATTAATTGAAATCATGTTTTGTTCCAAACAATGGTCATGGTTAAACCCTCTATCGTTCCTGTTGAGATAAAGTGCTTCACTATTGCCTAGATTTGGGAATTAAATCTCTACAGATCTATGTCCCATTGTTTTACCATCACATCCACGTACAACAGTTCTTATGTGGATGGTTGCGAACCAAGTTGGATAATAGAATGAATATTTTTGTTTAGGTATTAAAGGTAAGCTATTTCTGTGGTTCAATTGTTTGCTTAGGCACTATTTTGCTGCTGTGTCCACTTCTAGCCATATAGGAAGACTGCGATATTATGTGGCACATCTATTCTGAAGTCCCTTTAATCCTCGAATAATGATTAATGATTAATGTATTCACATAAATGACTCTGTATTACAGGAAGATCGTGAGAACATATTGCGAGCTAGGGCTTCAGGAAAGGGAGTGCTTACATCTCCATTTAAGCTTTTGAAATCTAATCATCTTGGGGTTGTCCTCACATTTGCTGTCTATAACACTGACCTACCACTAGATGCTACTCCACAGCAACGTATTGAAGCTACTGTTGGGTAATTTTGTTTCTTGAGAACTAGTTACTTCTACAATTTTTATTTCTTCTTTGAAAGCATCATGCCATAGTTTACAAGCCGATCCTAATATTTTTTTTTTAAAATTCATTTCTTTAAAGCTATCTAGGTGCATCTTATGATATCCCCTCACTGGTGGAGAAGCTTCTGCATCAGCTTGCTAGCAAGCAGACAATTGTGGTGCATGTTTATGATACAACCAATGAGTCTGCTCCCATCAAGATGTATGGTTCTGATTTTACCGACACGGGGCTATTGCATATTAGTAACCTTGATTTTGGGGATCCGTTAAGAAGGCATGAGATGCATTGTAGGTAAGTTCTCAACTGCTGTGTTGACTTGGGTATGGCCATTTGTATATATGAATCCAAAATAATGGGCTAACTGTTGATTTCTCATGAGCTCCAATTGTGTCCTTTGGTTACAGATTCAAGCATAAACCTCCACCTCCTTGGACAGCTATTAATGCATCAGTAGGCGTCCTAATCATTACCTTGCTGGTTGGTCATATTTTTCATGCAGCCATAAGTCGGATTGCGGAAGTGGAGAATGACTATCGCCAGATGATGGGGCTTAAAAGTCTTGCCGAAGCTGCTGATGTGGCAAAATCACAGGTGCATGTTAAAATTTCCTTTCAATATTCCACTGCATTATCAAGATGCACAATGTGTGTTTATCAAATTTGAATACTGAAGTCTTGACTTTTTTCAGTTTCTGGCAACAGTTTCCCATGAGATCAGAACACCAACGAATGGTGTTTTAGGTAATATGAATACTATTAAACTGATAACTCGATGCTCTAAATCTTCATTTCGATCTTGGATAAGAATGCTCGACTACTTTTCCATAGGCATGCTGAAATTGCTGATGGACACTAACCTTGATGCGAATCAACTGGACTATGCCAAGACTGCTTACGAGAGTGGAAAGGATCTAATATCACTTATAAATAAGGTTCTTGATCAAGCCAAGATAGAATCGGGGAGGCTTGAACTTGAATCTGTACCTTTTGATCTGCGTGCTCTACTTGATAACGTTCTCTCACCTTTTTCAGTAAAATCCAATGAAAATGGAATTGAGGTAACTTCATTAATTTTTTTCCTTTATTTCATTCGATCAATTCCTCACATGTGGTTCTTCTTGGTATCTTACCTTATGTAAAATTGCTTTCATACCCACTTGCATGTGAAGTTGGCTGTTTATGTCTCCGATTTGGTGCCTGAAGTTGTCATCGGTGACCCTGGACGCTTTCGACAAATAATTACTCATCTTGTTGGAAATTCTGTCAAGGTTAGATTTTATCTACTGCTACTTACCTCTTAAAACCTTTTTTGACACTGAATGACTCGAGACAAAAGGGGAAGGAAAGAAAAAGAACAAAGACCAATATTCTTTGGCATATAAGAGCTGTAAGTTAGTTGTGATAGCTTGACATTTCATTAGGGCCGATTTTGCTTTTCCCGAAGTCACACCTGCAGGCACATTGCACCTTGAAAGCAGACTTGCAAAAACATTCTATATTATTTTGTCAACTGACACTAGGATGTGCTGCAACCAATGCTGCAGTGCCGTGTTCTCTGGAGCTGTGGCATTTTTGTCTCTAAGTTTTGTGTCACAGTGCGAAAGGCTCTTGCACTGTCACTGTGACATTAGTCTGTCTTCAGGAATAGCTGGTTGTCTTTTTTATTTTTATTTTTTATTTTTTTTATTGAAATGAGATT